GGGGGAGGGCGGCCAGAGCGCCGGGGGGAGGGCGGCGAGCCCTGCTGTGGCCCGCTCTCCCCGGGGGCCGGAGCGCTGCGCCGCCGCCCCCCTCCAGGTGCCGCCCCAAGCACCAGCTTGGGTGCCTGGTGCCGGCCCTGTCCACTGCTGTCCACTCTACCCAGGTCCAGCTGTTGTCCCATCTACATCTGAGTCAGGCAGCTGCCTCCTCCACACTGCCTAGATGCTGCCAAGGGAACATTGGAAGCACAGGAAAAACGATATCCATTTTCAGTTCTGGTGCCACAGCAATTGGGAGCTAGCAGTTTCAGGGAACGTCCTGTTCAGCCCGTGAAGCACTGAACAGGAGCATGCTAAGTGTAAATGGAATCTCAGTGAGAGTTTTGCTGCCAAACTCTAAGAAGTCTCTTCTGAGCATGTGCAAACAGATTTTTTCAAAGGCTTATAACTTGGCCAAATGTGGGCGGATTTTCAGGGGAACAGCAAAAAGCACAAGCCTGGGACCAGGGAGACATCCTGCCGTATTTCAAGCCTTTACTCCAAAAGCATGGGGGAGGCTAAAGCTTTCCAGCAAAAAAGTTGTAAGAAAAAAATATTTAACATGGGGGAAAACAATTTTTCACTAATCAACTTCCCAGAAATGGCTGAATCCTTTTATTGGAACCCTTTTTTTTTTTTTTTTTTTAAGTCTAAGGCAGACACCTTACATTGAAAATTTCAACCTGAACAGGATGACTAGTTGGGAACTCTACAAGTATTATCTTGTAGGGTTTTCCTGAAGCATAGGCTTTCCCCCAGAAGAGGGGGATATAACCCTAAGTTACCTGCCCTGGGTCCAAATAGAGCCTACACCAGAACTTGTAACTGATCTTAGGAGGAAGTTACAGGCCCCCAGTCTTGTGTTTAGAACACCTTCCTTGAGTGCAAACTTAAAGGATCATTGCTGAAACAAGCTACCACAGGGAAACAGAATATGAAGTTCAATCTCAGTTCTAGTCCAGCAGGACGTGGGTGCAAATAACGTTTACGCTATGAGTGGGAAGAAAATGTATATAGGTAGGTGGCTTTGCAAAAACCCTGGATGAAAAATTCAGGAGCTGTTAGGTGTGAGGCATGTCCTGCCCTCCCCACATAGCAGGGCATTGTCATAACAGGTTGTAGGGAGGGACCTTCTGTGAACTATCACATGAAAAGTGTTATGGTTATATTCATAAAAGTTAGAGAAGGAATGCACCTTGCCCTCAGCCATTCCATGTGCAAACTGTATATCAGGGATACAACTAAGCTAGGTAAGGAGAGATCTCTGAGGTGTTTGGCTTCTTTCCCTCCTCCCTCCCCCAATTCTAGCTTCAACCTCTTTTTACCAACTGGATATAAATGTTTCTTTGTAATCTGGATTTACAGTCCCTTACGGACAGAGTTTCCCTTGCCCTGGGACTATACACTTAGCAGGCCAGATTTATTCATAGATTTGTATTCCATTAATTGAAATGCACAGTTTTAATCCTAATCCTCTCTTCTCTGATCCAGCCCCTAAAAACGGACTGGAGAAAAACAAAATGTTCCTCGCTTAAACCTTCCCATCAAACCAGACTGAAGAAGTACTAGGCCCACACCTGCTACACCAGCTTGGCAACTCACTCCATGCCACTAACATATTTGGGTGCATGTGAGAAGAGACTGAGGTTCTTTGGGGACTAT